ATGACTTGTTCAAGATCATGCATATTTCAAGTGAAGCAGAGGTGAATTTGAACTCAAGCTGTCTCAACTCAGTTGAGATTTTTTAAAAAAATATTTCATGGACTTTACAGAGAGGAAGGGAGAGGGATAGAGAGTTTGAAACATTGATGAGAGAGAAACATCAATCAGCTGCCTCCTGCACACCTCCTACTGGGGATGTGCCCACAACCAAGGTACATGCCCTTGACTGGAATCGAACCTGGGACCCTTCAGTCCGAAGGCTGACGCTCTATCCACTGAGCCAAACTGGTTAGGGCTCAGTTGAGATTTAAAGGCAGGACAAGAAAGTCACTTCCAGCATACAGGAGGGCGGGGCATGGGCATTTGGAGAGAGAGGGCAGGAGGCCTTTGGGTAGAAGGGCCTGTTCCCCGGGAACGGAGTAGGGACTCCCAGGACCGATCCCTGGGAAATAAAGACCGATTGCAGGTGCAATAATTAGCATCGCAATGCACAGGAGCCAGGACGTTTCCTTGCATTGTCGCCCGAGATAAAGGAAAAATCCGGACTGCGCAGGCTGCTTCCATTAGAAGTGATGTAACAGGCCGGCTTTGGCCTAGTTTTCTTCAGCAGGCAGCCCCCTGGCTCTCCCACACCCTTTTCTGAATCTGCAAGTGACATTGACCGCCATCTAGCGGTCTGCGCAGGCACTGACAGGCATGGGGAAGAAAGGTTGGACCCCATTGACTTGGAAGATGGCTCTGGTGTGGGCGGGAAGAGATCAACCAAAGGACTTGTATGCATATATGCATAACCCACGGACACAGACGATAGGGTGGTGAAGGCCTGGGGAAGGGGGCAGGGGCGGGGGCGGGAAGGGGGACATACGTAATACTTTCAACAATAAAGATTTTTGAAAAAAGATAGAGCCCTTTATCTTAGTAGGGAGTTTTATTCTGTTCAAAGCATATCCATACTTTTTACTTCAGTATGTCTTCTCACCAATCCAGGGAGGTTGACTCGGTTTTATGGGTGAGGCAACAGGTCCCTATAGGGGAAGGGTCTTGCTTAAGAGCTGCATTGTCAGCTATTAATGGGACTAGGACTAGGACCCAAGTTCTCACATATAGAGGCACTATCAGGTCCTGTGACATCTCCTTGGACAAAGGAATGAAAAATAACTTATCCTGGAGGTCTGGCCACTTCTCTACATTGGAGAGGGGTCCTTTTCAGCTCAACGACTGGTGAGATTTTTCCTTGGAATGGGAATCCTCCGGTGGAATATCTGGGTCGATGGTGTTCCTAGGGAGGTTTTGGAAGAAAATGAAGACTACCTGTCCAGCTGCAGACGCGAATACAGGGCAGTTGTTTAGAGCTTATCTGGTTCGGGTCTCTTACATTAAAGATGGGAAACCCAAGATTCAGGGGGGTGGGGTGGTGACAGGACTGACATCACACCGTGACGGAACCACGGTTGAAGCCTTCCCTCTCCATCTGGTCCTTCTGCTTTACGCACGCCAATGGAATAGCTGGGGCGTGGAGGCTGCACTGTTTCCGGCAGACATAACTGTTTCAGCCCAGAGTGAAAATCAGACTTGTGTCTTACAAGTCAAACCACACAGGGCGCAAAGGGAGAGGGGAGCCCCTGGACAATTAGGTTTGTTTTGGCATCTGTAACATCAGCAATGCTCAAACCGTTCAGATGAAATCCCGGGCAGAACCTGAGTATGTAGAAGGGATGAGTGGTGAGGAACGTGGAGGCTGCTGGGTGTCTCTGTGATGCCTGAGAGCCAGGGAGAGCGCAGGCTGAAAACCAAGGCATGTGTAAGGAGCCCTGGGTACGGGGTCCTGACACCTGGGCTCTGGGCCTGGCCCTGGCACACGCTGTCTGGTCTTGTGATGGACCCCCTGACTCCGATCCTCTCTCCCAGTGTCCTCATTCATAAGATGACCCAATCTTCCGACTTCCCAGGGATGTGGAGAAGATCCGATGGAGGGAAGAGGGGAATGAATGGGTGTGAATGAGTTTTGCAGAATGTCCAGGCTGTATTCCTAAAGGGTTTCTTTTCGTTTTACTCCCTGAGGTACCATTTATAGGCAACTGACATGCACAGCTCTTAAACGTTCAGTTCTGTGAGTTCAGACCGTTGTAATCAGCTGTGAAATCAACTCTTCAAAACAAGATAGAAATCAGCATTTCCCTCGCTCCAGAAAGTCCTCCAGCGCTCATTGCTGGTCAGCCTTTCCCTCAGGCAACTCCTGTTCCGATTTCTATCATCGCAGCTTCGTTGTGCCTGTTCTAGAACTTTGCGTGGATGAAATCACAGTATGTACACTTTTGTGCCTGACTTCTTTTGTCCACCATAGTGTTGTTGAGATTCATCCAGGTGTTCTTTCCTTTACTGCTGAGTACTATTCCATTGTATGGACTTACCGTTGTTTATTTTCCCGTTGAAAGCATCATTTGGGTTATTTCTGATTTGGGGCCATTATGCTTAAGGTTGCAATGAGCATTGTTGTACATATTTTCAGTGCACATATATCTACATTCCTGTTGAAATGGGAGTGGAGTGTCGGAGCATATATAGATGTATGTTTAACTTTATTACAGGCGGCCAAACTGATGTGCAACATGGCTGTACCATTTTACATTCCTACAGCAATGCATGAGGGTTCCAGTTGGTCCGTACACTTGACATTTGGTTCTGTGGGTTTTTTTTATTATAGCCATTCTGGTGGGTACCCATGTCTTATTATCAATCTGAGGGGAAAGCATTTAGTCCTTAGAACACTCCATGTATTTAGCCCAGGTTTCCAAGTTGCCTTTTCTTTGGGGGAACTACCCCCCTCATACTTTCTGTACACGCAGTGAGAATGGCCTGGCCTCGACTCCCAGTTCCATGTGCCCTACTCTGCCCAGTTAGTGTATTCTACCCTCAGGGTACAACGATTGGCTTAGGAATGGGCATGTGACTCAAATTATGCAACAAGAGTTATTTCTGAGACTTTTGTGGGAACCAAAATTTCTTGCCACTGGAGTTAACCATGAGGATAGGATCTTGCCAAGCTTGGGGAGAGTTTGCCCGAGTGTGAAAAGGTACATTGAGGAAAAGTGGGCTGGAGAGGGAGCGAGACAAACGTCCACTGAGCTTGCCCAAGCACCTAGGTCCAGCAATTCCTGAAGCCAGCAGGAATCCCTGGCATTCTAGAGTTTTCAGGTACACGAGAAAAAAAAGTCACTTCCTCTGCATTAGCCATTATCAGCGGGTGTTTCTACCACTTAATACTGAAAGCATCAGAATATATATTTTCATTTCCTTTCAACCCTCTTAAGTTCCTTAGTCAAGATTCTAGGGACCCATTGTCCCCGCAAGCCCTAGGGTAGAATTCCCTTCCTTGAGATAGCAAACCGCTGATTTCATAATTGTCCAAACAGGAACGGTTGTCCCTAGAGAGTCTCAGCATGAAGACTGGCTGGAGAAGCACAGAGCCCGAGAGAGTGTGTGTGCGAGTCTGCATCTGTTGGCAAGATTAATGTACCAGGCAGGCTGCGGGCCAGGGTTTATTTTTAATAATCAGAAGCCCATCTTATTTTTGAAATGTGCTGCCTGTGACGACAGGGAAAAGATGTTTCATCCCTCCTTTCCCTCACCCCATGGAACCTAACTTTTTGGGGATTTGGAGATGACATAGCGAATTCACCCTGGGACTCAATATTCAGAAAGGAAAAAAAAGGAGTGAGGCTGGAAAAAAAAGACAGGAAAGGAACATGATCCGTTTCTCTGTGGTGCTTTGCTGCATTTGCTAAGATTCATCAGGCTCCCAAACTATGGGGTAGATAACATTTTCGGCAGGTCCTTGAAGCATATTCCCAACTTGGTTGTCACAATCCTGGAGCCTTAGAACCATAGAGACCCTGAGGTTATAGCCCAAGATTTTACTGATGGAGAGAAAAAGGACCCTTGAGGGAAAAGGGCTGGGCCCAAGGTGCCATGGAGAATCAGCTGCAGAAGAAGAATTATGTTCCAGTAGAGGCTTCTCTGTCCCTACCCCACTGCCTCCCCTGCAAAGCCCACATAATGCAGAACTCATTGCTAGCTTTCCCACATTTCCGGAAGTGCTCCTTTGGGGTGGAGAGAGGTTCCAAGGTCTGGGTATGCCAGTGTGGCTTGGCCACCTTCCATCTGTCTGTCACTTATCCATCTGTCAGTCCCCGTGGAGGTCTGTTTAGCCCGGTTGAATTTGACCAGGCAAAGTCTGAGGTGCAGAAAGTGCAACCAGAAGCATGTGACTTGCTTTGGCTAATGGGATGTGAGTGGAAGTGACATGCGTCGCTTCATGATGGAGGTCGTCAAGGAGGCCTGGCTTACTGCTGTGTCATGTGACAGGGGTTTATTGAGCACCTATTCCGTGCCATGCTCTGTGCTGGGAAGGCCCTGGCGGCACAAACTCCAGGAGCTCACAGCCCAGTAAGGGGGCAGATAGGGATGCAGTTGTCACCCAGGGTGAGCACAGGACACAGCCAGTGCTGTGTTCCAGGCAGGACAGGCCAGCGAAGGGAATGGTCATCTCGGCTAATCACCTGAGCTGGAACTTGAAGACCATGTCAGGTTCTCCAGATAGGCAAGGCACGTAGGGAATTCCAGAGAGAGAACTGCCCTCTCCACTCGCTTCTCTTTGGCATTAAACTTACTCTGCCCTTCTCGATATCATCCACGTGTCTGCCAGGTCTCCTGCAGCCCATTTGCTGCTATGCTTATCCTCTTTGTGTCTCAGTTTTCTCATCTGTAAAATGGGTATAATAACAGTGCTCCCCATTAGCGTTGTTTTGAGGGTTAAATCGTTTAATATGTCTGCATAGGCATGAAGAATGTGAGAGAACAGCCAGTACATGGTAGACACTCAGTAAACGTTAAAGAAGTACGATGCTCTCTATATAATACATGCTCAAAAATATTTCCTTCACCAAAGTGCTCCTTCACTTCAAGTAACTCCTCATTTGAAGTAAAAATTGTATTCTGGCTGTTGGGAGCCTCAGGCCTACTCTCAGAGGGCATCCTTCCCTTTGAGCTAATTCTCTGATCTGTGCTGGTGTCACTCCACGATCCGCCGGGGTTGAAGGAGCGCCTACTCCTAAATGGCAAAGAGACACAAAAGAAGAGATCTCAGGCCTGGCTCTAAGGCTGAGGGGCCAGTTGGAGAAACACTAGCTACGCTTGGATCCAACCATAAAGAGACCCCACAGGACAACCCTACTTCCAGCTCATAGGTCCTTTCACATAGAGACCGTCATCGCTTAGGAGAATTATCTGATTTGGCAGAGAGAACCCAGCGGATTCTCAGATGGGCTCTCCAGCAAGTGTTCCAAACAAGCACACTAGGAACGGGAAGATGTTGGCCTGCGGGGCCGCCAAGATGGCATCATGCAAAGGAAACGCCTTTCTCTTCCTCCCCATTAATCCTTGGAGACATGGGAGGTAGGTTTTTCAATCTCACAGGAAGTCAGAAATGCTGCTAAGGGTGGTCCAGCAAGAACAACACCGTTACTGGGGGTCCCGCGAAGACCAGAGATGACAGAGGCCACAAGGAGGGCTGAGAGTTGAAGTGCTGAACTCGGTCAGGAGGGAAGACCTGAGGACATGGGCTCTCCTCTCTGGCAACTGTGAAGGACCCGTCTACATATTGGGATTTTGGCAGCAAAGGCAGTTTCAGCTTTTGTGTCTCATTCTCTGACTCAGTGTTGTTATATGTTGCTTCCTGTTTATTAAATTCTATTCCTGATAACTTCATAATGAGAGTGTTGGCAGGCACACTTGTCTCATATTTCAGATGGTCCCAGGAGGACTAGGTGGAGTGTGTGTGGAAGGGAGGTTATGCCAAAAAAAAAAGGCATGAATCAATGAAACAGAACCAGGAGGGTTCATGGAAGATGGGCTGACAAAGCAAAGGCATGAATCAATGAAACTGAGAACCAGGAGGGTTCATGGAAGATGGGCTGACAAAGCAGTTACACGCAGACATTACCCAGAGAGAATCTGAGGTCACCTGATCGTAAAGAAGAAGGTGCCGAATGCAGAGCTGGGAGAGAGTGAGCTGGAAGACTTCTAGGAATAGGTGGTTCTTGACTGGCCTTGAAGAATGGCGGGACTCTGGATATATGGGAAAGATGGTATTCCAAGATGGAGACCGTAATTTTTGAAGCAAAATTGTAATAAATAAATACTTATTGAGAATCTACCATGGGTCAAGCACTGTGCTTGTTGCTTTCTGCATGAGAGGCGGAATACACTGCTGAGTCCGGCCTGTGGATCAATACTGTACCAATATATAATTAACAAATATTTATTGAGCACCTACTATGGACAAGAGTTTTTCTCCATCTCATATATTGACACATTTCACATATTTATTTAATCAACAAGTATTTACAGAATGTCTACTACACAGTTTGATATTTTACTCATCATAGACCTTTTTTGCATTAATTTTTTAAAATATTGCTTGAGGATATTGCATATGTTGATTGCTGAGTACTTTTGGTGCCTCCATAAATTTTGTGCCTCAGTCCCCTCATACTAGTCCCTGCCCTGGTTTGGGGGTGATGGGAGGACTTGTGGGGAATGGAGACTTTGCTGGGCCAGTGTGGATGGGAGAGGTGAGTTGGGGGATGCATGTGAGAGAGAGAATCAGATTGTGTAAATGTAGGAGTATCGGCTAGTGTCACAAAGACGCTGTGTGACAAATCAAACCCCACCAAGTCTCAGGACCATAACACAGCAATCATTTATCCTCATACTCACAGTTCTGAGCGAGGCTGCCACTTGGCTGGGTGAGGCTGGCCCCAAGCTCTAGGCTGCGGGTTTGGTGACAACAGGATGTGTGCTCTGCTCCATGGTCACCACGGCACAAGGCAACAATCAAGCTGGGAAAGCAAGTGTCCGGACACTTCACATCTTCTAACTTCTGTGAGCCAAAGCAAGTCACCAACCCCCAAATCAAGAGGTTGGGCAGTTTACTGCACCCACCATGAAACCATGGCAAAGGTGTGGATATGTAATCCTGCTATGGGACCAGCAATTCACCCTTCCACAGTTGGGGAAGACAAGAATAACTCAGGGGATGGGAAAAGGTGCTACACATCAGGGTGTGGCCACTCCACCTCTACCTGCTCCTTACCTGAGTCTCAAATCTGCCCCAACTCAGGCTTCAAGAACACCAGGTCAGATGTACGATGATAGGGCACCTGGAGCCTTCCATATCGGTGATTACACCAAGAGGGACTCAGTAGCCGCCTTTAACCGGCTCTTTTTTTTTTTTTCCAAACCTTATGCCAGCCTACCAGCCTGGGCTTCAGCTTATGCTTCATTCCTCTGGCAGCCTTTGTGTCGCTGTGCAGAGCCTGGGAATGAAGCCAATGGGAAGTGCAAAGCTGAGCAGTTCTAAGAGACTAGGTCCTGATCCATCAGCGGAGCCCCTTGATACAGCTGTGCCTGAAGCCAGACCTTCTCAGTGACATGAATCAATAAATTCCTTTTTTGTCTTAAAGCAACATTTGAATTAGGTTTTCGGTCACAATGGCAAGAGTGGCCAGTGCTTAATACAAGAGCCTACCTACCCAGCAGGACTCCACGTGGGAGGGAGGGGGGCAGGTACTTCTAGCCTCAGTGTGGTATAGAGCCTGCTACTCCAAGTGTGGTTGGTTTGGAGGCGTATTAGATATGCAGGATCTTGGGCCTCTCCCCAGATCAGCAGAATCCACATCTCCATTTTGATACATTTTAATAGAGCCCCAGGTGGTTTTGCGCACCTTAAAATTTGAAAAGCGTTTGTGTTGAGAAGGTCAAGGCCCCCTGCCTCCCTGGGCCTTTCTTTGGGACTGGGTCCAGTTTAGCAGTCGTCTAGAGTTTGAGACCAGGGCTCAAACCATGGCTTAGTTACTTATGAGTTAAGGGGCGAAGAACACGGGTGCGTTTTTCAGTATCTCTGTGTCTGTCTGTTTTCTCTTCTGGAGAAGGGGGGTAGTAATGGTTGCTTCCTCTCAAGCTTTTGAAAGGACTCTCACGGGAAGTGCTTGGCACACTTTTGGGGAAAGAGGAAGAGCTCAAAATGTACCCGTGATGATGATTTCCGCAACGCTACACTGTAGCTGCTTTATGTTCAGCCTAAAAAACTCCGATAGATCAAATGAGACAATGGATGGGAACCATTTTTAGAATGTGTGCATTGATGAAAAAGTGACTTTTCTGAATCTTTTAAGAATATTGTGCACAAGGGTTGTGTCATCTGTATGTAGTTAATAGTTGGTTGGTTTTGACCTGTTGCCTTTGAGCCAGGGTAGGGTTGATGAAAACGTGACTTTTCTAAATCTTATAAGAATATTGTGCGCAAGGATTGTGTTATTTGTATGTAGTTAATGGTTGGTTTTGACCTGTTGCCTTTGAGCCAGGGTAGGCGCCATGTCAAGAGCAGAGGCCACCAGGATGGGCCAGTGCTCTGAGTTAAGGGTCAAAGGGCAGCATAAGGGCCGTGCCTTCTAGGCAGGAGAGATGCAGAGCATTTGGACAGGCTGTCCTGGCTGAAGACAGACCCCAGAGAGGCCTAGCGGGAGGTGAGGACTTTGGGCTTTGCCCGGCAGACACCTGAGATAGAACTAATCATAGTGACCCTGGCTTCTCTGTGACGCTATGCCCTGCTGGGTTAGGAAACTGTTTCTCCAACTGTGTGGCTTCCATGTTACACAGACCTCAGAAAAGCTCCAAGCAGGCCTTAATTGGCTGACACAGCCCAACCCTACTGCAAGGGAACACAGGGTGTGATGGCTGGAAGCTGGACAAGGGAATAACTGGGAGTAACTCAGGAGGCTTGGCCCATGGCCTTCTGCTATTGATTCTGTGTGTGGCTAAGAGTCGGGCTACCAGCACAACTGAGACCATCAGCCGAGACAGGAAAGGGGTAGGGAGGGGCTCTGGCAGGGCACTGCCAAGGCGACAGCATGAAATCTGCCACCTGCTCTTGGAGAGGACACGTGCATCCTCTGCTCAGAGGAATCCTGGGTGTCCTTGGCTGCACCCTGGGGACCCACCCGGGGGAGACACCAGCCTTGGCTTTGAGATCTGTAGTGGTTGGGAAGTGGGAAGGGAAAAAAGTGCATTAAGTCCTATGAATGCTCACGATCAATCTCTGAGGTTACCTGTGGTTTACAAATGCCGTGGAGAACGAGAGAGGGGGACACTCCCAGCTCCAGCTTCAGGCAGGAGGAGACATCCCAAGGTGATGAAGAGAATGGACCAGCGGTCAGGCAGAACCAACCAGGTCCCTGTCCCCCTCTTACTGTCTCTTCCATGACTTACTCTCCGAGGTCACGGGCAAATCACTTCACCCCTTTGTGCATTCATTCAAAAAGTAGGGATAAACGTACCCTTTTTTGGGAGACGGATGTGGAAAGTATGCGTGGTAGCATGATTAAATCCATAGTGCAGTAGATGGGACATAGTAAGGAGGTAAAGGTTGCTGATGGTTAGCTCATTCAGCATCTAGTGGGCTAGAGCAGTGGTCGGCAAACCGCGGCTCGAGAGCCACATGCGACTCTTTGGCCCCTTGAGTGTGGCTCTTCCACAAAATACCACGTGCGGGCACGCACGTACAGTGCGATTGAAACTTCGTGGCCCATGTGCAGAAGTTGGTTTTCGGCCTGGGCGAGTCTATTTTGAAGAAGTGGCGTTAGAAGAAGTGGGGGGGTGTCGGTCAGTCGGGCGACGGGAGACGCGGCGCAGGCGGGCTGCGGGATATGCAGCACGGGGGAGGTACATTGTTTTGAGGTATGTTCGCTGAGGATGACCCCTTCCAACTCTCCCATCCACACTCGTCTTGTATACTTGTTTCAGATAGACGAGTGTGGATGGGAGAGTTGGAAGGGGTCATCCTCAGCGAGCGTACCTCAATCAGATTGAGGACATTTTTAGCAAAGGCCAGCTTAGGAGTACCCTAATTAAGTTAATAACAATATACCTACCTATATAGTTTAAGTTTAAAAAATTTGGCTCTCAAAAGAAATTTCAATCGTTGTACTGTTGATATTTGGCTCTGTTGACTAATGAGTTTGCCGACCACTGGGCTAGAGGGACTAAAACACAGGGTGGTGAATGCAGGAAAGGCCTCTCTGAGGAGGTGACATTTCAGTTGAGACAAAAGGGAGCATTCTGGGATAAGGGGCTCATTATAGGAACTCATTATACTGTGACGATGGGGGGAGCTGGAGAAGTGACTTCTGGAAGGATAAGGAAGAATTAGAGGACCAGGGGAAGAGCCGGTAACAGTCCTGGAGACCCGGTGTAGGTGGAGAAGTTGGAGCTGTAGGGATGTCTGCGAGGGGAGGTTATGGGGAAGGCTGTGGGTGCTGTTGCCTCTGTGTGTCTCCCACCTACCTGGGCCTGCAGCTAGGCACCTGGAGGTGGGCCTTGGGTAGCTGTTGGTCATTAGGGCCTGCAGCTGGCAAGATGAGTTGGGGCTCCCCAACATTCAACAGTGGGGACACAGAGCAGAGGAGAGTGAGGACAAGCTGGGACGCTCCAGGTACCTCTGTGTCTGCTCACTGGCCTATCTGACTGTTACGATCTTTCGAGAATAACGGCTAATGCTCACTTCCTTTTTCTAAATCTTGTGCAAGTTCCCATTTTGGCTAACTCTGTCCCAGAACCATGCAGTAGGGAGATTCTGGGAGATGTAGTCCCAGCTGATCCAGGTGGATAGTGGATCCATCCCATTGCCAGTGCATGAGTTACCAAGATAGAGAAAACATGGAGAGAGGCACATTTGGGGTGGGAAAGTCAGGAGTTGTATCATGGACTTGTTTAATTTGAGATGGCCCCCAGTGATCGCTGTATCCTGCTCTTCATACTGTGCAGTTCTCACTGGAGTGCGGGCTGGATTTAGACACTCACTTCTAGCAAATAGAATTTGGCAGAGGTGACGGAATGGCATATCTGAGATGAAGTTACAGAAAGACCGTGGCTTCTGTGTTGGGTGCTCTTTCTTGTTCTCTTTCTCTGAAGCAGGGCAGCTGGCATGTCAGGAGCAATCTATAGCGAGATTCCCATGGCAACGAACTGAGGGAGACCCCTGGTCAACGGCCAGTGAGAAACTGGGACTCTCAGGCCAGTGACCTTCTGGGAACTGGATCCTGCCAACAGCCACATGGTTGAAAACAGGAGCTCAATTTTGGGGTAGTTTGTTACGCAGCAGTAAATACCCAACACAAAGTCTCAAGTGGGTATTTGTGCTTAGGACTCAAGGCTTAAGGGAGAGGTCAAGGGTGGGCATATATGTTTAGGAATCATGAATATGTCGTGGTATTTAAAGCCATGGAACTGGATAATATTAATTAAGTAGAAACAGTAGCCAGAGAAGAGCAGCTATCTGGGGCATGAGTCTTGGGCCTCCCCAGCCTTTCAACAGTTGGGCAAAGGAGAGAGACTCAGCAGAGCAAGTGGACGTGAGGTGGCTAAGGTGGAAAGAGGAAAAGCAGTAGGGTACGGTGTCGGAAGTCAAGAGAAGGTCATGTGTCAAGGTAAAGAGAGAGAAATGCCCACTGGCTTCGACCACGTGGAGTGGGTTGGTGACCTGGACAAGAACAATTTGAGTGGAGTGGAAGCCCACCTGAGGACAGTGGGGAGGGGAGGGAGTTTGCCCACCTGACTGTGTAGCATGAGGCGTGCCCCCAAAATATGGACTTTCCCTTTCAGTGCCAGAATAACTGTGTTTGTTGGCCTTCCTGTGAGACTCTTGGCCTCGGGAGATGGCGGGCCAGAGAAGAAGACAGATGTTGGGCAGAATGGAGCCTGGCTTTGGGGAAGTGGGTGCAGCTGGAGGAAGTTTGGTGGCAGAGCCAGGGAGCTCAAGAGGAGAGGTTCATTAGTTAAGGTGGATGCTTTGTGTGGCCTGAGCTAGAACTCTGTCCTTTAGTCATTCAACAAACCCTTAACTGTTGTGTAGGGCTCTGCCAGGCAGGGGCGATCTGTTATTAGAGGTCAGAAAACACCCCAAAGGGAGAGGGTGCAAGTCTAGGGGAAGACAAACGTTTAAACATTATAGGACCTTGAAATTAGTCAAGAATAACAAAGGTATGTCCTGTGCTCTGAGAAAGCGAGGGAAGGTAGGCCGGAGCTTGTCTGGAGGTGGGAGAGTGGGGGAGAGGTGGCGGCGAATGAAGACTTCCTGGAGGAGGTGGCCCTGAAGCAGAGGCTTAAAGACTGAGTGGCTAGCACTGTGCCGG